CTCCCCCTTCTCCACCCCACCGTGCGCCTCGCCCTCCCTTACCCCTCCCTCTTTCCCGCCCATGTCCTCCGGGCGCCCTGGTGGGGGAGGGCTCAGGAAGCTAAAGGCTGATCTCGTCTCGGCAACATCTCCCTCGGGCGGACCTTTTGGCCCGCGTTTATGCTCGTCGCCAGATCTTACTGCGCCCTTCCCTTGCTCCCAGGCCCGTTCGACGGTCCTCGGCGACGGAGCCCACCCGGTCGTCCCACGCTGCCGGTGCACGCTCGCGGCGACTCCTCCCCCTCCCTCCTCGGGAGGAAGCGGAGGCGTCACAGGGAACTGCTCCTCCAGGGGGACAGAGGATGGGGCGGACGACGCCAAGAATGCAAAGGCTGTGCGTGTACGTGGATGAGAGGCGGGGGAAAGGGTGACGTTGGCGACGGCTCAATCCAGGCAAGAGGGAGGTCCATGTCTTTGTAGCTGGCCATGCATTTGCTGTCCGGGAAAATCCTGCGCCACGGTACCCAGGCTACTGCACGTGCAAAGTGATTCACATTCGACCGTCTGTGCGCACCGTCACTGGAGACCAGACGAGCCTCCGTAAAGTGGCAGGTCCCAAGTATGGAACATGAGCCTTGGCAGGCCGCATTTTGACACGCCTTACCTGACGCGTGCCTGTCCTGCGCCTGGACATCTTCGAGTTCCGATGGCGGCTCTGTCATATGTCCCTAGTCTGTGCGAGGTGGGAAAGGAATCAGTGGAATTCGCACGGAAAACCAAGCTTTCGTCAGGATTGATGCTCGCAGTGCTCGGTACTTTCCCTTGTTCCGCGCTGCTTCCACTTGGGAACGAAGTTCCCTCCTACACGGTCTGGCGCCCACATGCAGCAGTGATACAACGATTCGATCTCATGCAATACCATTGCTCTGCATGTGGGCCAAGCAAGCTTCCTTTCACATGATTAAAATTGTAATTCATTGTTGGACAGGTGCAAGCGCCGCCCATCCGCCTCCTCCCTCGACCTCCTTGTACACACTACATGGCGTTTTTTTCTCTGGTTCCTTGGACATAAAATTCTCACGCGTCCTTCGTGAGCACCATGCCTCTGCGTGAAGGCGACCTTGTCATTCTGGTTGTGTGCATGGCGGGGCTAGCACTCATTCTGGGAGGGCTCTTCATGTACTTGGGGCCCGCCGAGGAGGTGGCGGAGGGTCTGGTGAGGCATGGTGGTAGAAAAAGAGAGACCAAGCAAAGGGATGGGAAGCTGCGATGGTGCTGTGTGTGGCAATAGGAAGGTTGCCAGCAAAAGGACAACCTGCGCATGTTCAGTGTGACGCAGGATATTAATTACGACACCCACCTTGCCTCACCTTCCTTTGATACCGTCCCTCCTTCCCAACCCTTCACACCACGGTTCGGTGCGTGTTCAGGGTGGCGAATACACAGGCGTGGAGGAGGAGGAAGAGCTACGACAGGAAGGACGCCGGGGGTTGCGTAGAAGGCGGCAACAGGCGAGGCCCAGGGGGGTGGGAGGGAGAGGGCGGGAGGGAGGTATGGAGAGAGGGGCGGCTGAAGACGAAGAGGGGGAGGCCAATGGCGGAGAAAGAGAAGAAGAGGGCGAGGAGGAGGGTGATGAGGAGATAGGGGACGAGAGAGAGCTGGGCGTTGTGAGAGGGGCAAGCAAAAAAGACCGACGAAAAGCGGAGAAACGGGCGATGAAGGAGGAGGCGCGACGTCAGCGAGAAGCCGCCCTGAGGGTCGTGGAGGAGAGCCGACGGCGAAGGCTGGAGCGGAGTCGAAGAGAGAGTGAGAAGGAGGGGGGGGAGGGAGGAGAGGGAGGGGAGGAGGAGGAGGAGGAGGCGGCGGAGGAGGAGGAGTTTAAGCAATGGAGCGCATTGATGAGAGTGGAAGGGGAAGGGAATTTGGCCGAGGAGGAGGAGGAGGAGGAAGGGTTGCTCGGGGCATTTGTTGCATTTATACAGGAGCGAAAAGTCGTGCTGCTGGACGAGGTGGCCTCGGAGTTTAAACTGTCAGTAACTGCCGTTCTGCAACGGCTGGAGGCGTTGGAGCGGTTGGGTAGATTGTCCGGGGTCTTGGACGACCGGGGAAAGTTCATCGCGGTGGAGGAGGAGGAGCTCGAGCAGATCCGGAGCTTTGTGGTGAGGAAGGGAAGGGTGCGGGTCTCGG